TATTCTTTTTATATATTGCTAGATTAAATCTGATAGTATTTTGATTAGGATTTTTCTATGAGGGGTATTTCTTTGTAATTTTTATTTCTTGAAATGTTCTTGTCAGGTTTTGATTTCTTGATCAGACTGTCTTTGCCTCATTAAAAAGGTTGGTATTTATTCCCATTTTCTCTATTCTTTGTAAGAGATTGCAACATGTTGTTATTATTTCCTATTTAAATGTTTGGAAGATTTCACTAGTGAAGCCATCTGGGCTTGTAGCTATTTTTGGTGTATTGTTTTAAATTATAGATTTAATTTCTTCAGCAGACATAGGACAATGCAGATTTTCTATTTCTTCTTGTGTTGATTTTGTCAAGTTGTGCTTTTATTTATTTATTTATTTATTTATTTATTTTTTGTCTTTTTCCGTGTCCGGCAACGGATTGCAACCCTCAGTGTCACCCCCGTACCGGACCGGGACCGGCAACGGGATCGCAACCCTCGGTGTTGCCCCCGCGCCTCGCTCAGCCAGTGAGCGGGAACCGGTCTGTATGTGGGATCCGAACCCTTGGCGGGAGCGCAGCCACGCTTCCCAAGCGGCGCACTAGCGCAGTGCGCCACCGGGCCGGCCCCAAGTTGTGCTTTTAAAAGAAGTTTTCTATTTTATTTAAAATGTTAATAATTATCCTTGTTACCATATTTCTCAAATACTACAAGGGATATTGCCTAATCCTATTGTATTAGTGAGTGTATCCACTTACACTGTTATCCTATCTCAATTCACTGCAAGTGAAAATCTTAGTAATTGTGATCCTATAACATGCTATGGATTATTACCACACTATCTACCACCCTCAGTGTGGCCCTCATTGCCATCTGGCCTGTAAGTGATCCAACCTCAGAATCCCATCCTGAAGATCTGCTTCCTAATGTTAACTGTTTTAGTTTGGTTACCCTTCCCTCCAGTACCCCAAAGCAGATCCTGCGACAAGAATTGAGCACATGTAGGATATTTGGGAGATGGAGGGACATTGACAGAAGAGTGATATAAAGAAGAGAAGGCAGCCAATAAGAGCTCTGTTATCAAGTCAGCTAACACAATGGGTGATTGGTGCTTAATCCCACAGGGAAGTGCTGAGGATAAAAATGCACTTCTGTATTACCTCAGCAAGAGATAAGGAAGTTAAGGGTATTTGCACTCCTTAAACCAAATAATTTATTGGCTAAGGGCTGCCTCTGGGAAGATGTTGATTGATAGGCATTTTTCAGGCCACCACATGCACAGAGTAGATCCCAGCAGCCAGAGGGGAGCCCTTCAGTAAAGGTGCAGGTGCTGGCCTTAGGAAGTCAGACTGGAGTGTATGGAAATGGTTAGGGGGTCTGAGAGGATATGGGTATAGCACCAGTACTGTCACCTAGTACAATTAAGATATATATTTTCAACTATGCAAGATAATGCCAAATTATTTTCTAAAGTAGTTGTATTGATTTATTCCTATGAGACTTATTTTTCTTCATATCATTGCCAAAATTTGGTGTTATCAATATTTTTAATTTTAGCCATTCTGTTGGATGCAAAATGGTATGTTGTGATTTTATTTTGCATATTCTTGATTATTTGTGTATTGGTCTGGGTCCAATCAGAAAAATAAGTGTAATTTTAACAGGAAAAGTTTACTATAAAGAAATGTTAACTCTAACAGGGATTGGAGTACTAAGCGATTGGCTGGTAAGAAATTAAAAGAACTCTGAAGAATATGGAAATAGTAGATATAAGTGGCAGCCACAACCACTCTTATGGCTGAGACAGAGCACTTAAGCAAGAGCCTCCTTTTCCTGCCAGCCTAAGATCCAGACTTTGCTGGGAAGGCATGGCTATGGCTCAGTGAATGGCAGAAAACATGTTTTAGGGCTGTACTGGTAGAACTTGCTCAACATTTTCCCTCTTTCATTTTGCCATGAAACCAACTAATAGGATGCTGGAGAAAGCTGTTTACTGGGAGGTGTCTCACTGTAGGCACTCTGCTACAAAATTGCCTGAGGGGAAGTGCTGGAGGAAGCTGTTGGTGGCTGGGTTCTGCTGGCCACTATGTTCGGTAGGAGTCTAGCCCTGCAGAAGTCACACAAGCTGCAGGAGCTTGTTGAGCACACTGGAACCAGGAAACAAAACCCTATTCTCCTGCTGTCTCTCCAGTGCACAATACTGACAAAAGCATGCTAACTTAACATCTTGCCATCTAGCAGTGAAACAAATATTTAAAGGGCCCAGATCTATTTTCACAAAGTAGGCAAATAGAGTGAATTTGGAGGTAGGAGGCAACAGATGGTTAACTGGCACAGTCCACCCTTTGTTGATTCAGTTTCCATAAGCATTCTTCTAAATATATTCGAACTCCCCAACAACCAAAGAACACTATATTTCTACCAAAGAATATTGGTAGAAAATATTCTTACAAGTGAAGAATTACCTTTTTCCTCAAATGAGAAACATGCAGTCCCAAAAGTCGTTGTATCCTTCATTGGTTATACTATTTACTCTTAATATTCAGCCACAGTCACACTGAATATTCTTTTATCCAAAGACTAAATTGTAAAGTTAACTTCAAACAACTTATATATAAAATAAAAACGTAAAGGAGAGAGAATATATACATATAAGAAGTAAATTGAAACTATGCGAAAAGCTATTAGGATCCTTGTTTCTATAATTGATTACAAGACTATAATTGATACCTGTGGTTTTGTTCTTCTACTATCTGTTCCATATTTCCCCTGCCCTCAGCTAGAATTTCAGCTCATTGGAGTTTTTCCTGGCAGAGTGACCTGATTGAGATACAAAGGGTTGATTCCTCACTCATCCTGCTGTTTGGATATTTTCTATGGACCTATCATCTAGATCTCTCATTCTGTTCTCAGCTTTTTTTAATGTGTTGTTAAACCTGTCTATTGAATTTTTAATTTTGATTATTGTAGTTCTCAGTACTAGAATTTCTATTATTATTTTCCAAATATGCTGTTACTTTTTATAGTTTTCAATTAACTGCCAAAATTTTAAATCTTGTCTTTTTTTCTTTTTGAACTTAGTAAGTGTATTTGTTTTATAGGGTGCATCTAATCATGTCAATAGTTTGAACACCTTCCAGTCTGTTTCTGTTGTCTATTGTTTCTTATTTTGTTGTCTGGCTGTTATTATATGCCTTATGATATTTCATCATGCTAGATATTTTATTTGCAAATTATTGGTAGAAATAATTTGAGGCCTAGGATAATGTTATCTTTAGACAGTATTGTCTATTTTCTGTTAGGAACCTTGGCATACTAGCAGTTCTTCCATCACCTTAAGTGCACTTAGAGGCATGGACTTTTCTACTGCCCAGATGTCTCATAGCTAGGCTACATTCCAGGTAAAGGCTGGTTTACTTCTGCTACACCCTTTCCCTAATAGCAAGTCATTGTGTCCCAAGTCAAAGTGCCATGTTTATTTGAGCCCCTACCTTTTGTCGGCTGTTGCTTCTAACTTTTATCCCCCTCTCTTTTTGAGGGTGCTAAATGCCTCTTCTAAATAGGCAGATCTCTGCAGAGCAAAAGCAGCTCTGAATGCCTGGCTCCTCTTAAAGAATTGGCAACTTCTTGATCTTGGCTTGGTAGATTTTATCATTTTGTTACTTATAAGATGCTTTTAAGATTTAAAAATTGCTCTTTAGCTTTTTAAGTTGTCTTCTGTGGACAGTTTGCCTTGAATTACCTCGCTGAGTATTATTGGAAGCAAAAAGTCAGGGCAAGTTATTTAACCTGTTATTTAAACTATGCTCCAGTTTTCTCATCTGTAACATGGGAATACTAATTACTTACTATCTTATAGGGTTTTTGAGATTTTTAAATGAGGTAACACGTTATGTGCTTGTAGTAGTACCTGACACGTGGAAAATGCTCAATTTATTATTACATTAATTTGAGAACATAGGAATTTGTTTATCACTCTTCAGAAATTTTTCCAAGCGTGAATTAGCCCCTGTATTACCCAAAGTAATTTGCAGAGATTATGAAACAGATAACATTAACATTCACTGACCTTTCTGTCAGCTCTGGTTTAGGTCAATGAAACTTTTTTTCCCCCTATTGTTTTTAAAGCTCTGTTTTATAAGAAAAATTTAATTTTATCTAAAAGGAAATAATGATCCTGATATCTGTGTGTACATGTGTGTATGTTTATTTGAATACCTACACACCAATTAGCTGTCATGTATGTGTATATGTATGCATACATGAGTATGATACTTTAATTTTTAAAAATATGCTAAGTGGTAAGATATTTTAATTTTTAAAAATTTTCAAAAAATATTTTTCGTTGATAAAATAATTGGGATGGATTTAAATATTTTTAAATGCTGACAATCTGAAGAGGGTTATCTAATTATTTTTCTTTTTTATGTATAAAATTGAGAATATAAAGCTTTTGATTTACCCCATTTTAAAAACAATTCTTGGACTAGATATAAAGTAGACTAGAGGAAATGATAATAAAAATAGATAGCAAAATTCTACAAAGTCTGATGACGGCTACCTTAACAATCCTCATACATAAAAAACAAATATGGCTAAGAATGTAACTCCACAGAGTGGGATTTTCATATACTGTTTCTCTGTCGCGTAGATCTGCATCTTGAAAAGTGTATTTGATCTTCCTTCCTTTGCCTCAACCTAATTTTTGTGCAAAGTTTGACTTTATGTTGCACCAACATTGAACCCATAAGTGCAATGTTCAATCTTCCAATGTCTTTTTCCACTGTGTAAATTGAAAAGATCACTATATATCAAATTTTAAAGAAATCTAAAATATGAGATATAGAGGGAAATATGGCAATATGAAAATTTTCCTAGTTTAAATAAATCCTCCTTTTTGGAAATGCTATATCCCATTTCTTTGGCTTAATTACTTTAATTTTCTTATTCTACTATATGTCTTCAAGTTACTTAAAGGTAATTATTTTCATGATTTTGTTTTCTTCTCTAGGTTAACAGAACCTTCTGGATATTTAACTGATGGTCCAATTAACTATAAGTATAAAACTAAATGTACATGGTTAATTGAAGGCTAGTAAGTATACAATTTGGATTGCATTAATTTATTTTATTCTGAAATGTTAAAAGTGATCATATTAATATTAAATCATTAAAGTATAATGACTTGATAGTTCAGTAGTTTCTTTGTTTATTATTGAAAAACAGTATTCACAGTATTTTTTCATGGATTTACAACACCTAGACATCATAATTAATATAAATTACATCACCTCTTGACTTCTAATAGTAGTTTAATTTTTATATCTATTTGATTTTTGGGTTATGTTACTGTGGCATTAAATCGAGTAGGCATTTTTTGGCTTGTTTTAAACATCTTGTTATGGAATTTAAAGACTCCATAGAAAGTACAAAAATATTTTATGCTAAGTTATGCCATTGGTTTATACTATTGCACATTTTAATTCTAAGGGTATTTATAAAAGAATATTTTGTTGGAGAGTTAATTATCTGTTTAGAGGTATGTTTTAGTGCTTAGGGCTTGAAACCATTTATCTATTTAAACATATTGTGAGTGGATCATCAATGAATTGATATGAATTCTTTTTGGAACATTTTATGATTTTTAAAGACTGTATTTGGACATAGTTTTTTTTTTATTTTAAAAGTATTTTTTTCTTTTTTTGTGGGGGCCAGCTGGCCAGTACTGTGATCCAAACCCTTGATCTTGTGTTATATATAACACAGCACTCTAACCAACTGAGCTAACCAGCCAGCCCTTTATTTTAAAAGTTTTTTAAACCTTAAAAGTTATTAATTCTCTGCTATGTACTTGAATAGTCTGTTTGTTTATTTGTTAATACTATTTCACATTGAGACTTTTTGATTAAAATTTGAAGAACTGATTAGTGCCTCCACTTAAGGGTTCTGTAGAAATGAGAATAGTTGTTTCTTGAGTGTTCAATTTTAAAAATCAACTTTATTTAAGTATAATTTGCATGTAACAAAATGCAACTATTTTTAAGGGTACAGTTTAACAAGGTTTTAGTAATGTATAGAATCTATGTAAGCTTTACCTTAATCAAGACATACAACCTTTCCTGTTGACTAAAGTTTTAGAAAATAATGGTACATACCTATGGCCTATTAATAGATTTTGAAAGTAGCACCTCAGTTTTACAAATTAGGGATGATGGCTTATCAATCGTTTACTCTGGTGATTTAAGGATTTATAGCAAAAGTATCTGTAAACAGATTTTTTTTTTTTTTTTGTCTTTTTTCCGTGTCCGGCAACGGATAGCAACCCTCAGTGTCGCGCCCACACCGGACCGGAACCGGCAACGGGATCGCAACCCTCGGTGTTGCCCCCACGCCTCGCTCAGCCAGTGAGCGGGAACCGGTCTGTATGTGGGATCCGAACCCTCGGGCGGGAGCGCTGCCGCGCTTCCCAAGCGGCGCACTATCCAGTGCGCCACCGGGCCGGCCCTGTAAACAGATTTTTAATAAATACTTTGCAACTTCTTTTCAGATTGTACTTTGTATATTATATATTAATTTTAAAAATATTTTAATTTTTTTTTCAGTCCAAATGCAGTATTAAGATTAAGATTCAATCATTTTGCTACAGAATGTAGCTGGGATCATATGTATGTTTATGATGGAGATTCAATATATGCACCTTTAATAGCGGTACTTAGGTGAGTAATTATGTTTAATTGATGAACTTAAAGTCAGTTGTAGAAAAGTAGCTATGTATAATTTGTTAATTTTAAATCTACATTGCTCTGTACTCCAAAATAAATTTAGTATAGATATTGATGGTTAAATTTCAAAGATGATTATAATACTATGTTGTGTATGTGATTGTCAAATTAAATGTATATACAATAATGTGTATATTAATATAGCAGACATAAATAAGTAAATACTATAATCTATTGGAAATATAGATTTCTTTATAAATAATATTTATTCTCACTATTTAGTGTATTCCTTTAAAGTGGTTTGAATATGTTTTCACAATGATCTAGTTGGATAAATTAGGGTGAGTTCTAGCTAACAAACAAATAGACAAATGTATATATTTTTTACAATTGTCTTTTTATTTTAGTGAAATGATGAAATTTTAAATTCTGCAAAAACGGGTTAAGTTATGCTTCGCGTAATGCTTTAATAAAGAAAGTATTTCTGTCACTTCTAAAAATGTGGGAATTTCGGTTGCTTCAAAACATTTTATTGTTTAATAGTTAAGTAATTAGACTATTAATTTTAAAATTACAGCGTTTTAAGTATCAATTTAAAAATATTTTTATGTATGTATGTACAGATTATTATAAAAAGTTTTATGAGTAGGAGAAATATATAGGATGTAGAAAAATTGTGAACACATAGTGTAGATTTTGTTTACAGTTAAACTAGCATGATCACTGACCAAATACTCGTTAAGTTATTCTTTATTACTGCTTTTTACAAAATATCTCTTATATTGTCATAGCTCTGTCATTGTTGAAAATTTAAGTATAATTTAACAATAAGATCAAAGCTTATTGTACCCCTTGAAATTTTTATTTTAATTTTTCTTTTTATTATTGGTGTTACAAACATTCTGTTTTATCAGGGATGTGAACTGTTATTTTTTTTGGACAAACATGTAAGGACTTACATTTTTGAATGACTATTTCAAAGTGAGCCCTTAGGAGTTTAGACACATTCTGTGATGTTGCTATTGCTTGAAATAATTTTAGAACTTCATTTTTGAGTTGTTTGAACATTATATATAAAAGATAACCATACGCAGCCCTTTATCTAAAGGACAGTAGAGAGAAAATGGAGTAGAATCTTGTAAATAATTATTTTGTACGATAATTCACTGTGACAATTTGATTAATAACTTGTGGGAGAAGTACTTTTGTCCTGAGTTCATACATTTATCTTTAGCACTTTAAACATCACTTTGCTATCATTACTCTATTTTTATGACAACATTGACTGACTGTCATTTAGATATGTGCCTTTTCATTTGTTTTTCTAGTAATTCTAATGACTTTGCATTAATTGACAGTGATCCATTAACAGTCTTACCCAACGCTTTCCTTTTACTAAAGGAATCTTTCATAAGATAGTTGGCAGGATGTGATTTAGTATATGGCTGTGAAGACAGAACAAATGTTTCTGTTGCCTGTCCTGTTGGAGGTGGAAAACTCATGTTTATTGAATATCTAGTTGATGCTAAGCCCTGTGCTAGGCATTTTAAATATTATCTAATTCTCACAAAGATCTTGTGGGATCTTATCCCTATTTTACAGTTGGGAAAATTGAGACTCAGAGAAATTATTTACTTCTAATAGATCATAGAGTCAGGATTAGCCAGGATTAGTACTGCAATCTCCTGATTTAAAAGCCTCTACTGTTTGTGCTACACCTTACTAAGAACTCAGAATCTAAATATGTTTGAATTATTTCAGTTGTATAAGAACTTATTACTCAACAAACATTTGATGACCTACTCAATTCCAGAGACTATCATAGCCTGAAGGATATATTAAGGAATAAGACATGGGCCATTGCAGTGACTTCAGACACCAACTCCCTAGAGTTGTGCCAAACTTCCTAGGTTAAGGGCACAGTTCTCTACAAGACTGCCCTCACTACAGACACCAGCTTCAAGTTTGGGGGGTCCCCACCTTCACTTCTGACCATCTGGCCACAAATTCACGGGTTCCCACTCTTCCCTAATGTTTGATATTTTGCTAGAACGACTCACAGAACTCAGGGAAGAGCTATACTTACGACTATAGTTGTATTATAAAGGATAGAAATCAGAACCAGCCAAATTAAGAGATGCGTAGAGTGAGGTTTGGAAGGGTCACAAGTGCAAAGCTTCTGTGTCTTCAGGACGTGTTACCCACCTAGCACATCAATACGTAAATACAACCAGGAAGCTCACCTAAGCTTCAGATGTTCAGAGTTTTTATTGAGGTTTCATTATGTAGGCACGATTGATTGAATCATTGGCCACGAGGTTGAACTTAATCTCCAGCCCCCATTCTCTCTCTGGAAGTCAGGCTGATATCATATGGCTCCAACCCTTTAATCACATAATCGATCTTTCTTTAGTGGCGACCACTCCCCATCCTGAATCGGCTCATTAGCTTAAATTATCTAGGGGCCCACCATGAGTCACCTCATGGGCATAAACTACCAGGGCTCTCCATGAATAACAAAGACACCGCTATTGCTCAGGAAATTCCAAGGATTTAGATGCTACATCCCTACAACTGGAGACAAAGGCCAGCCAAATTCTTTCGTATATAGTAGTAATGCACTGTTTCAGGGAAATCTCAGAGGCTAGCTGTAAGGTTGTCCAGGAAGGTGACACTAGCCAGGCAAAGGATGGAAAAAAAGATTTTATTAGAAATGGCAAGTGGACCTGCTGGGCTGAGCTGAAAAATAGCATCAGCGCCAGAGGCTGTTGGGTGTCTTCTTTTATTGGGTTAATATTTACATCTGGCCTAACCAAGGGAAACAGTTATAGTGTTTCACTCCGGGTACAGCCTGCTCAGCCTGCTCATGGGAACAGAGGCTTAGGGAAATAGAAACTTAGAGAAACGAAACTTAGAGAAACAAAATTGAAGGACAGGGACTTTCTAAAAGTCAGGCTCTCAGTTCCAGGGGACTAATAACACTAGCTATATCTAATATAAAGACCTGGGGATATTATTTTTAACAATATACTCATTTTGAGGTAATCTCACTACAATGAAAAATATGTATCCGTAACTAAGATTGGTGTTATAGAATTTTAATTCTGTTGACAATCTCTTTTCAAAGTCTTTTGTTCCCTCACACACATAACTTAGTAATTTAATAATAATTACTAACGCATTAAGTTAATAGTAAATTACTTTTTAACTTTGCACTTAAGCATGTGTTTGCAAAATTATTTGGCTGTAATATTTCATTTGTCTGCTAAATCTGATTTGAGTGAGGGAATTCCTTTCCTGGTGTTGCCTAAACCTAAGTTTAACTCTGTTGAAAGGAATTGACTATTTTGAGTTGCATAATTAGTTGCAGCTTCTTTTCTTTCTCCTATTTTGTGTTTTCACAGATTTAGAGATGGTAGTGTAGTGTGACTGAATAAAGACATAATTTTTCCACATGATCAAGGAGGCTTAAAATGGAGAAGTTACTTAGAACTCTTGCTTTTGTACATTTATGTCCTCTCCCTGCCCCCCAAGTTAGTTTTCGTTTGTGTGCACGTGGGCTTTTAAGTGCTTTAAGTGAGCAGTAGTCTGTTTTACGATAGCTATATATAAATGCAATTATGCATAATTTGAAAGAAACATAAAAAATTTTAAAAACATTACCTAAAACATCTAGTTTATTGTTTTATAAATGTACAACTTTAACTAGAATGTCATTGTAATCACTTAGCTAGTATGGAGTATTCCTGCACCTTCATCAGAATTTGCAACCAATGGGAAAAAGTAAAGGTAAAGGATTACTTATTAGAGTAGCAAGGTGGCTTTAAGTGAAGTTTTATATATGGGTTGAATTGAAAGGCCACCCTGTAGTCTTATGACAGGATGGATAGCAGAACAAAAGGGAGAAATGGGACATGGCAGTCCAAATGGTGATAAGAAAAAAAAGGTGGGGTGCAGTGGCACAAGAGTAGATGTTAGTGTATTGGCAGCAGTAGTAGAGCTCATCAGGTGAGAAATGCGTAGAAACTCATTTTAGATTTATTCTCCTAGATTTCCATTCTAATGTACATGCTCAAAGATTCTGATAAGAATATTTTAAAATAAATCTTATGTGGTTTACAGTCACATGTATATTGATACATACAATCTTTAATTTTGTTCTCTTTTAGTGGTTTGATAGTCCCTGAAGTAAGGGGAAATGAAACTGTGCCTGAAGTTGTTACAACATCTGGCTATGCACTGTTACATTTTTTTAGTGATGCTGCATATAATCTAACTGGTTTCAACGTTTTTTATTCGTAAGTATTTTTCAAAAATTTTGTCTTGGAATGATTCTTATAATTTGACTTAAAATAATTTATTGCTTGTTTTTATGGATGTCTTATGTACCAGGAACAGGCTAATGTGTTAAATTTCAAATTATAAAAGATCCCTTCTTAAGCCACATGAAATCTTAATAATATGCCACAAAATTCTATCTAAGCCTGTATTAAGAAAATTTCTAAGTCTGAAGACATTGTGGTAGCAAATTAAGTTTGGTTAAAAATTAATTATAAAATTTAAAATTGTTTTTGCCAAATGGTTAAGTAAATAAATACAAACTAGGATAACTTTACTGGTTGCAGCAGATATGTGGGGTTGCAGAGAATGCTAACTGCCTTTCTGTGCTTTGTCAGGTATGGTATTTTACTCGTAATTTGAAAGAAGGTATGGGAGCTAAGTTTTCATAGTTCTTTATTCTAGAGATTGTATTGGATGCTATATATGCATTGCGTCATGTAATTCCCTTTACAACAATTCTTTCAAGTGGGTATTTTTCCCATTTTGCACGTGATGAGATTGAGGCTTAGGAGATAAGGTAAGTGGCTATACCACTATCTCCTCTAAGATAACAAAAATAATATTCATTGAGAATCTATTATGTATCTGACACTTTATATAAATTTTTATATCTAGAATTCCAAGGGTGAAGTAAAGTAGCCAGAGATGCTTTGAGGTTCTTTCACAAGAATGGCCACAGAGAAATTCTATTCATTAATTTTTTTCTTTTCTTCATGAAGGTAGAAATTGATAGCCAGAGAATTTTTCACCAGAAATAAAATATTCTAAATATTCTTGAATCAGCAATTTATTATAGGATTTCTTTATCCCGGTATGTATCCAAGAATGTATGCAAGGAAGAAAAAATACGTAGTAGAATAAAATCAGTTAAAGGGTTTTAAAATTAAATGTGGTAGACATTCATTTTCTTCCATAAAAGTGTATAGGTGATAGCATGCTCTTTCAATATTATATATCCAAGTTATTATATCTGTCTCTTCATATAGTTTCAGGTATTCATGAATTTAATTTTTTTCTGTGAAATATACATTCAAAACATTTGAGTACTTACGTCTTTACAAAACATTGTGCTTGGAACTGTATAGATCTTGCAGATGTTGAGTGCACAGTCCTTGGGTGTTTGGAGTCTTGGTAGCAAAGTAAACTTATTGAATGAAATAAGACCAATTGCGAGTAAATACTAACTGAATTGCATAAGAGTAAAAGGAATATGGAGTAAAGAATTGAAGCTATATTGTGAAAATGTGTTAAATTAATAAGCACATAAGATACAACATAAAAATTATGAAGTTTACAAAATATCAACCAAAATTCCTTTAAAATTACCTTGAATTTGAATATATATGAATTATGTTTTACAGAATCAATTCTTGTCCTAACAATTGCTCTGGTCATGGGAAGTGTACGACTAGTGTGTCTGTTCCAAGTCAGGTATACTGTGAATGTGATAAATACTGGAAGGGTGAAGCTTGTGATATTCCTTACTGTAAAGCCAATTGCGGCAGTCCAGATCACGGTTACTGTGACCTAACGGGAGAAAAGCTGTGTGTCTGCAATGATAGTTGGCAAGGTAAGCACATGTGGTGTGATGGCTTTTGAAACATTGATTCATATATCTCATAGATTAATACAAATTCTACTTCATTTGTTTTGTTATAGTTTGCACTCCCAAATCTCAAGTATTTTTTTTATTTATAGAATGTTTAGAATAACAGTCAACTTCTTAATAATCTGCTTCCTCACAAATAGAATTAATTGGTGAAGATTTTGTCTACATGCTATTTTGAGGATTAAATGATGTTATATATGAAACTGTTTAAATTGTGTGTGGTCATTATGATCTTCTGTAATTTTTTTGTTGAATCCCCAAAGATTTTATGACCTCACTGGATTGAACATGTGGTTCATTCAAATTTGATTTATAAGGGTAACATGAATAGTATATTAGAAAAATAAATGCTTATCTGACATTTATTTCTTAGTAAAGACTGACCTCTTGTGGCTATTTTTAAAAGTACATTTTAGCTGCCTATTGCAAAAGTGAGATATCTGAGAAAAAAATTCTGAACAATTTTTATAAATATCTATCATCAAAGATTGACTTGAGGCTATGTTAAAGAGTTTTTGGCTTACTTATGTATCTGGGTATAAAATTAAAAATTTTGTCATTATGGAATTAGGAGATAGGTCTATTTATCCATATACTTACCCATCCAGAGCTTATTTGTTGTTAATTACATTTACATATTGAGAGCTTCCTTTGTGCCATATTAATATTAATCCAAAATATTAATCCTGTTGATAGAGGGAACTTTGACTCAATAATTACATAATTACTAGATAAGGTACATGATCAGGTGTTATTATATAACATGCTGTAGCAATAGTTCCTATCAGACCTAAGTAAAAACCAAAGAGAATGTGTTACTCATGTAGTTCCTCATCATTCTTGAGATCACATTTTTAAAAAATGTTACTTACCATGCTGAATACTCACTCAGAGGAATTATTTTAGGTTTTGTATAAACTATGCCCATCTTAAACTCATGTTATTTCATTAAAAATATTTGATATGTCAAAATTACCTATTATGATTGTAACAAATACAGATTTCTAAATGTTCTTTAATTATAGGAACATGTGTTTTAAGTGGCTATTTTAATCATTTGTGACTTTTCTCCCCACAAAAAGTAGCTTGAGATATAATTTTTTTTTCATTTTAGTCTTGAAACTAAAATAACTTTCTTTTCTATGAAGAGTTGTATGTCAATATTATATTTAAATTAAGGCCTGTGAAATAGAAGTATAAATCATACACACAGTGTTTTTCAAACTGGTCTTTAACTGCTGTTTGTCTCCATCTCATTTCATTAGTCTTGAAAGCAAATGAGGAATACATTTGTATAACAGTCCCCGTGAACATCTCTGTCCTTTTTCTGTTCTTTATGTACTTTTATTAGTTCTTCTTTGAAATGCTTTATTTCTTGGGGGTCTTGTAAATATAGATCTGGTTCAAAATATCATCTTCTTTTTTTCTGTTTCTTGTTTTAACATTCTGTTATTCTCATCAGTAATGCCCCAAATCATAAACATTCCCGAATCTAATGTGTCTATAAGTAAATGGAAATGGGGAAGCAAATACTGGGCGTGTTCTCTTTCAAAGCAAAGTGATCATATGAGTAGCATTATAAATTCTTAATAATTAAGGAAATTGATATCTGAATTCATGTCAGTGTTTTGAGGATAGAGGGCTTGGTGAATGAGATAGTATGCTGTTTTCAAGACAAGTGATGTGCAAATTGGTTACTTTGAGCCTCAAACCTGATATTGATTCCGTATTTAAGAAATCATATCTACAAGCAGGTGAGATTATGACCAAAATCATTAGGGGAAAAAATGACGTTTTTATTTCAGATGTATAGAATGGGAGGAATCAGTGAGGTAAAAAGGAGAGATAGACTAATTTGCTTCTAGGAAAAAATGGGAAGTGATTAAAGAACTAGAGACATTTGAAAATGAAGACTGCAGAGGCAGTCTTTATGAAATCCAAAATCTGGAAGTTTTATATAATGTGTTATTTGGAACCGGATTCTTTAGGTTGGAATAACATATTGTTGTTACCTTCATTATATTTTATCCTTTGATATTGGTTGACTTTACTTATTCTGTTTGTCTCTTTGCTAGTATATATTTTTTAAAATTGAGCATTACCCTCAAGAAACTGTGGTTTTATTAAGAGAACACAGAAGAAAAGCCTAGCTTTATGTTAAGTTTTGGGTTGCCTTCTTACCATTTCTCTTGTGTTTGTCCCACCTGGACTTTGTGTGTCGTTTTCTTTAATTTTTCTACATCGTACCTCTAAGACTTTTGCTCAGCCGTCGCTATGTTTTTCCGTCCTCAGTTTTCTCATCTAATTATTTCTTAACTATCTGCTTTTACCTTTTTACCACATGAGACATTTTTCCAAATTAGATAGGTGTATATTTTGAGGGTAGATGACACTATTAAAACTAACTGTCTTACTATAGAAAGCACATACAAAAACCAAAAGCTGAAATAGTAAAGAATATAGAAAATGAGGTAGTGCAGCATTTTGAAAAGCACATAAAGCTATTGTGTAAGGTTTAGTTTTGTTATAATGTATAGTTGTCAAATATGATGGTGTGTACACATTAAATAGAGTACTAAAAGGATAGGGACCTGTGTGGACTTATCTGCTCCTATTACATGTCTTTTTAATTGACTTCATTTTTTAGAGCAGTTTTAGGTTCACAGCAAAACTGAGCAGAAAGTAAAAAGATTTCCCATACACCTCCTGCACCCACTCATGCACAGCCTTTCTCTTTTTCACCATCCCCACCAGACTGGCACATTTGTCAAAGCTGATGAAACTGCATTGACACATCATTATCATCCAAAGTCATAGTTTACATTAGGGTTCACTCTTTGTGTTGAACATTCTGTGGCTGTTGGAAATTCTGTGGGTTTAGATATTATGACATATATCCACTATTATAGCATCTTAACACAATAGTTTCTGTAACCTAAAATCCTCTGTGCTGTACCTGTCTATCCTTTCCTTCCCAACCCCTGGCAGCTACTGATTTTTTTTAATGTTTTGCCTTTTACCAAATGTCATAAAGTTGCAATCATATAGTATGCAGCTTTTTCTGACTGGCTTCTTTCACTTGTCAATATGCATTTAAGTTTCCTCCATGTCTTTTCATGGCTTGATAGCTAGTTTCTTTTTAACACAGAATAATAATTCATTATCTGGATGTACCACAGTTTGTTTATCCATTTACCTACTGAAGGATATCTTGGTTGCTTCTATGACATTTTTCACTTAATAAAATTTGTTTACATCTTAATAAGTCACATGAGGGAAAAAGGCAACTTTGAAAAGCATTGATTTCTTAAAATGGCTTCCAAATATTGGCATAGATGAATAATTTTTAAAAGACATCAAAATCACAATAGAACAAATTGAATTTATGTTCATATGTAAAGAATACAGTAGGACAGTAATTTTCAAAGTGGACTCCAAGGTATGGTGTTTCCCCCACCAACTCCCTTAGCCAGAATTGGAATCACTGGAGGTCTTTGAATGAAAGCTACAGAAACAGTTCTGAGTTACTTTAGCAAAAAAAGCAGTTATTGGAAAGTATGGCAGAGACTACTGTCTCCCAGAGTTCATTCTTTCCTTTTTTTAGTAACAATTCAGTGTTTTAGCTGGGCACATGGCCTTCCAGCTATGTACCACATTTCTCATCTTCCTATGCAGCTTCTATATCCGTTACTAAGTTTAGGTCAGTAGGATGTGAGTGGAAATGCCGAGTGCAAATATTAGATCATTCAGATCTTTTCCAATGTCTGGTAAATGGCAACAACTAAGTACCCAGTAGCGTTGGCCCATTCACCCCTAGAATGAGATAAATCAACTTTTACCTTATTTTAGTAATTCATTTTTGGTTAATAATTAACTTGTTCCCTAACTAATAAAAAAGGATATTAAGTAGCTCTCAAGAGATCTAATAATATCTTAATCTGTTCCCTAACTAATATAAAGGATTTTGAGTATCTCACAACAGAGATGGTAAGGATGGAAAAACCATAGTTGGAAAGAGGCAGGTACAAAGGATAAGAGGAAGCCATAGGATTGTTTGATTAGTATATTCCTGTCACTGCCACTGGACCCTGGGATACCACCATGGGCATCCTTTCAGTGAACACTGCATGTAGAAGGCATGGATAGAAAGAATTCTAAACTGTCCCCACCTCTTTGCCCCACTTGTGTGAAGATTCCGAGTCCTGCTTAGTAGCATCTGTTTGGCTAAACCTAGGTCTTAGATATAGAGATATAGATATAGAAATAGAGATTTAAACTTTCGGTTAGAAGGGGTCCTTTTTCTGAACAAAATTCACAAAATAAGGTATTTTCTCAAATGTAGGAATGGGACTGAAATGATTGGGATCCCCAAACAAATAAAAAATTAAAATAAAATATTTTTAAGTGTAGATTGTTGCCATAATTGTTAAGGAATGCCCCAAGTAGTTCTCTGATGTCTACTCAGAAGAACTTTGTAATGTGGGATAGATGGTACGAGTAGACAGGTTAAGGAGATCAATCAGCAGGCTTTAGCATATGATTTTTTTCTTAATCCTTTATAACAAAAACATTTAAAAAATATTTTTTATTCTAAAGAGATGAAAAACAGGTCACCATCACATATAGAAAACCACTGCTTAACCATTACCAAATTGTCCCTGTTCCTTTCCTGTTCCAGAATGTCCTACTCAGTCCTTTTGTTCTGTCCTTATAAATGTCTTCAGGACACTTTTTATGTCTTCAGTGTTCTTTTTCAGTTCAATTCAGGCACAGTTCTCTTACAAGGATTGGAATCAGTTATTTTAAACCTTCAAGTTATTGATTAAAATATGCTGTGAATATGTAAATCATGTAATTTAATACTTTTGTTTTATACTACCTTTGATATTTAAAGTCACAGTTTATTTTGACTTATTTCAGTTTCTAAGATGTTCTTTGTCCCTTACTATCTGATGATCTTT